ACAGTTTCCTCCTGTTGATTCGGTGCAATACTTCGTTTAAGTAAAGGTATATGACTTTGTAAACCACTGGTATATATCTATTGTGAAGTTTCGAGTAAACTCCCAGGTAAGTGTGAATACAGAATTACGAATATACACATAAACGAGAATATTTTAAGTGAACAATCGTCAACTGACTTGGGTGGATAACAGACATATATATGCAAGTTCACATAATGACTAATTAGATTAGAATGATTAACCTGTTCAAAAATCAAGACAAGTTACGTAGACAATTTTGCCACTACAGGAGAAAAACTGAATGATCAATAAACGTACCTGGATTTTCGTATGTGGTGCCAGGTACAAGAGCGCTCGAAAAGCATGATGTATCAGATCTCCTATGCCTCCAATAAGACCGGCTGACATCATGGTATCTATTTTGATATGTCTAAAGACGAGTGTGTTTTGACATAAGTGCAATACCTTAATTTATCGTCGTAATGTAAAATAATTGACACTGGTACCGATGCTTCTGTTTCAGTAAAATAAGTAATGAATGTCAGTGTGTGGTGGTATTAGTTCCTAACAACATGATTTTTGAGTCTGAGTGTGTAACTACTGAGATTTACACTCAATGTGTGACACTAAGGGAGGGTCAACAATAATGAACGCGGGACAATTAATCTAAGTGGCATGGCTCGGTCGTGTAGGCGCGGTCATTCTTTCTTACTGTATCAAACACATTACTCTCCCCTAAGCTCAAATGTGTTCTTCAGAAGTGCAGGACGTCATAACGTTGGTTGATACTATAGGACGAGTCGGTGCATATGATGATGTGAATCCCATGTAAGACCTTATAGACTAGATAGTCACGTTACGACATATCTACATTTTTAGGTTAGGGTTTATTTTCGTGTTAGCAGAGATAAATATACTGTCGAATTAAACCATAATCCTGCAGGTACATACATATCCGTTGTTGAGCATAGCTGTGGAGGCTTGTCTGTCAAATCCTGATTCCTAAGTCATTTCATTACTTATCAACGATATTTTGCTATCTTAATTGGGGAATGCTAAGACAGATTGTCATTACATTATTCATATAGCAAAATCTGAGATTAGTGTTCTGGACTCAACAGGCAGGGCTAGGCAAGGAGAAGGACCGATAAAGACTCTAGGCTACTTGCACAGTTTTATGCATAATTTGTCTGGTCAACAATTTACTGTTCTCTGATTGGCAGTATTATTACGTTATAGACTTATAGGCCGCAAGATAAAACACCTAAAAATTACTGAGGGGAATGGCTTTGATCATAATAGCTACAATGCCGACAATACTTGATGAACTTTACTAGCAATCGATATACCTGCGTTTAAGGCACCCGCTTTTTAAAAGAAGCTTTTAAGAATCTAGGACCATTGGAATTCAATCGTCAAAGAATGCAAACAATCCTTTACTGAAATGCAAATAGTATTCAGACATTGAAAAGATCCTAATTTGACTAGAAAAGTTTCATCATGCTCAGTAAAGTGAAGGCGAAGGGTCATCTGCTTCATTAGACGTCTTCAAAAACTGGCAATATCAGTATTTCTAAATTATTAAGTGACGAACCTCGAAGAGGTTGTCCTTAATAAATTTATTGACGGTATGGACTTGAAGTTGCAGTGAAATAAACTTACGAGACGAGCCCCTGAAATCTTTTAAGCTGCTCTTGATGAGGCGGTTTTGAGGGAGTGGTGTCCATGGTCGCATATCTTGAAGAGCCAAGATACCACAGTGGGACAAAGGTTTCGCAGTGGGCTTTGCACGTTAGACATGTGCAGAAAGTGAGCTTTCGCTCAAGAAATATTGGAGGTCCATTTGATGGTGCAAGAGGAATTCGACGGCAGGTATGTTACATAATCCATTAGTTTTGCTTTGTGGTTAAAAACTCTTCGTCCCAACATTATGTGAAGAGTCATTTAATTGTCCAGCTACTATTTTGTTAGGTTCGGATGCAGTATGTTCTTTAATTAACACTACTCATGTTACTAATGATATGTCTCTATATGATACTCGTAATGAACGTCTGAACGCAACCGACTGCACTTAAATGGTTGTTAAAGGTAAAATAACACGGCAGTCAACCCTCAACCAATCGAATTTCATACATACGTCTTTCGTTCAGAATCTATCTTAAGACCTTATTTTAGGTTGCAGACTTGTTAACGAAGTTTGGACGATGTGTGAATTTAAAGATTTTTACTGTTCAGAATTCAGTTTGGAAACTGGGTAGTGACGATGGAAAAGACACTCTTAGTTTTCAAATAACGATTATTGCTAATGAAATCGAAACAAGTGATATGTCGTCTTAACTTGCGAACTACCCTTCGGAGCGTGTGCAATTATTAGAAGGAACGTAAAAATATTCTATGATGTATTTGCTTGGGTTTCTAAAGATGTTAGACATATGAGGGCTATGGCTCATTAGATCGACAATCAAATACAAAACCATATAGAAAACCTCCTCGTCAAAAACTGAATGAGGTTACAGAACGTGATTCTTTCCCATTGTCACGATACTTTAGATGAATCGGTCAGTTCGGAGTGGTTCTCAACACTGGTTACCATCTGGTTATTGGCAAGTCGAAGTATATCCTGATGATCAATACAATACGTCGTTCATCACAGAATTAAGTCTATACGAACAATGCCGTTCGGGATAGCTAATGCTCGTTCCAGTGACTAATGAATAGAACACCATGTAGGTTGGTGCCACACGCTTGTTTGGTATATCTGAACAATGTCATAGTACATGGAGCATCTGTTTGAGAACACTTGGAAAATTTGCATATAGTTTTACAATGCCCACAGAAACTTGGTTCGAAAGTACAACAATCGACATGTCGTCTGTTGAGAAAGTGATTTAAATCCATAGGTCATATCGTTGATAACCAAGGGATAGCGATGTGTTAGAAAAACATTCCTGAAGACTTGCGGCATGGAGGCAAAATAAAATGATGCGCGTCGCAAAACGTAGATATTGGTGGTCATAACAAAGGGAAGACATGCGGAATAATGTCACCACATGCAAGATTTGCCAAATTACTAAAGGCCCAAAGAACGGCCCGCGTGCTTTCTTAGTAAATATGAAACCAGGTTACCCGAACAAGATAGTAGGGATTGACATTACTGACCCATTACGGGAAACTGACAGAGAAAATAAGTATATTCTGGTCATGTTTGGTCACTTTATAAGGTAATGTTGGGTGACTCGCTCTAGAAGGTATGGATGCTCAAACCGTAACTAAAGAGCTGTTTGAGATTAGGGTTACCCTTAGGGTGCCCCAATTCATTTGCATTCACATAGAAGTACCAAGTTCAAAATCTTACTTTCTGAAGGACTGTATCAATATTTGGCAATTCGCAGGACGCGAACAACTGTATATCATCTAGAGGGCTTCAGGACTGTTGAATGAACCAATGGGACTCTAAACCCTACTAAACGTATTTGTTTATCAGGAGGAAGCTAGATCGTTGGGCTTAGCTACAAAATTTCATTGAGTAACAATAAGAACAGAAATTTAAAATGATAAATTTTATGCTTTATCATTATGACACCTTACACGAAAGAAGAAATTAAAGAAACAAAGAAACCAAAAGACTAGAAGGACGCCATAGTAAGTCTTGTCTTCAAAACAGGTACGAAACATAAACCTGAGAACTACCACCCCGTTAGCCTAACTAGTGTGGTTGTTAAAATCTTAGAAAAGATTATTCGGAAGGAGCTGTTTAAGTATCTCGATAAAAACCGGATCCTCTCGGAGAAACAGCACGGCTTCAGAATAGGTTATTCTTGTCTCATTAACTTATTAGTGGCTGGTGAAATCTGGTTCCCACTCAGAGACCAAAATTTACCTGTAGACGTGACCTACATTGATTTCAGTAAAGCTTTTGACAAAGTTCCGCACAACTGGCTGTTATCTAAGCTAAGAAATATCGGAATCTGAGGCAATCTATTGATGTGGATAAAAGACTTCCTAGTTGGGCGTCAACAAAGAGTAAGGGTGAACTCAAAGTTATCTAGCTGGAAAACTGTGCTTAGTGGAGTGCCCCAGTGTACAGCTTTGGGGCCAGTGCTATTCCTCTTGTATGTAAATGACCTTCCTTGTCTCCTATCATCATCGGTCTTGCTATATGCTGACGATGTCAAGATATGGAGAACGATACGATGTAAGAGTGATAGCTTGGAACTTCAAAATGACCTGAAGAAGTTATCTGAATGGTCTCAAACATGGCAGTTTCCGATAAATACTTTCAAGTGTGTTGTGATGCATATCGGTCATCAAGGCACAGATACATACACGATGAATAACACTGAGCTACCTGTCGTCCAGACATAATGACTTGGGAGTTATCGTTAGTCAAGACCTAAAGACTACTGAACACTGCCGTGCAAAAGCCGCCGAAGGTTTTAGAACCTTATGGTCAATACGTGGGGCTTTTAGTCATGTCGACGCTAAAACGTTTTTGACTTTTTATACAGTGTTCGTACGTCCTGAAATTGAGTACTACATACAAGTGGCTAGCCCCTGCTTAAAAAAAAGACAGCGAGCTTCTGAAAAGGTTCAGAGAACAGCAACTAAGCTGATTCCCGGAATAGCGAAGCTTCCGTATGAAGTTCGACTGGCCAAGCTGAACCTTTTCCCGTTGTCATATCGCAGAACTAGAGGCGACTTGATTAGTCTACAAATTGCTTAGTGATAAATTTGCACCTAATATGCCCTCATTTTTCTTGTCTTCCAAAACAGAGAATTTACGAGGACACTCCAAAAAAGTTCATAAGCCGAGAACAAATTACTTGTCAGCTGACTATCGACTTTCCCATCTAATCATCAACGAGTGGAATTCATTACCTCAGCACGTGGTTGAGGCTCCATTCGTCGACTCTTTCATAAGAAAGTTCGATCAACTGAGAGACCACCATTGCCAGGACTAACATAGGCCATCAAGCCTCTTGTCCTTTCCAAACTGAAACTGAGAATGAAACTATTGACCACTGTACAGTGAACGCGGTTGTTGTCGAAACCATGCTTCTGCGCTACTACTTAGATTCCAATGGGGACAGGGTGTATACTCTGAAAGTAAGTCTAAGTAAATTTTATGCTTATCACAATACTGTAGAAACAATTTAAGTTTTTTGTTGTCTAAGTTCCATAAGATTAATCGGTAGTCGCAGCTTATAATGGTAATTATTCCGTGGTTAAACATTTAAAACAATTGTTTTAAATGAAACTTCATTGTTAAAGACTGTTTATCGTATCACTTGAAATGCCTAGGGTATTTAGACACTTATTTCTCTAAAAATTAACCAACAATGTGCTTCTTATTCTTCATAATGTAGTCAATAAACTTCATTTCTTCCTGGACTATTGTTTTTATCTAATCACCGTCGATCACCATAACATCATCCTATCTCTGCTTTTTCATGGCATATTTCCTCACTGTTATGATGCTTACCTGGAATATGTACTACGTGGTTTATTACTGACCTCACCAAGGCTATTAGTGCCGTTTGGTTACTAAGATGAATAATTGTCATGCAGGGATGCTTTCTTTTTTCAATTCTATTCATACGATCGTAGCTGAAAGCAGTTATCCTTCATATGCTGTTCAATTTAGCGAACATATCACCACAAAGTCTCAGGTACTAAACGTGGGATCGCTGACTGGGACTTAATCGTTAAACCCCTCACTTGCCTCTTATTTTCAAGAAGGCTTAGGTAGGTTCACTGCTGAACCTGTCACCCAAAGTTATGTAGTTGTTGATTTTCAAGATGAAGCGTACGTTAGAAATATCCGTTGTCGTCATTTCTGACGTAGATTATTATTAAAATACCGACAAATATAACAACGTGCCCGTTTCATACACATAGTTCCCTTTATCATTTTGAAAAGGACAAAAAAATTCTAGTAGAATAGCATGAACCCATTTTATTTCATGCTATCCTGCTAGAATCTTTGTTCTTGATCTTTTCAAAATCTGCCCGTTTCCTTGTTTAGAGATGGATCTTCTGATCTGGGCTCTTTTTCAGTTGGTCATGAAGTGTGATTCAAGGCGAGCTGCTGTACTCCTTTATGATATTACCACACGTTAACGCCTACTAACTCTGCACGTAAAAAACAAGAATACAGTCTTTCTACATAACTCTGTAATTAGGGGTAGTCGTTCCAGGTTGGCATCTATCCGATCGTCACAACTCGAAGCAACTTAACTCGACAACAGTCGGTTAAGTTTTCTTGTTGGTAAAATTTGTCTTGGTTTTGTACTTGCCTAAGTTGTGTATCTGGATACTCTTTATTCGTTTAGTAAATTTCGGCATCATTATTTTTATCCATCGATAGTATGTTTCTTCACTTAACCCCCGACCGTTGTTGCTACGTTGACGTGGTGGTCTGACTTGCCTATCGTGATGAAGCAACCGAGCTATACTGGCTGGAACAACCGTTCCTCAAGGTCCTACCATGTCAGACAGGTCGGTTGAAGAGCGGTAAGACTAAAAGCAACAAACCTAAGGTCCGAAGGCGAAGTCGTACTGCTGACTGTACAGAGGTGTGACAGCAGTAAGGTGTTTCCTTCAGACAACCAGCATGACAGGGATGCTGCCTTCCCACAAGGTGGGGTGGGGTTAGAAAAGGTCGACCCTAAAAATGCACACCTTGCCTTATTCCACAGATATCCGTCTCCGGCGGTAAGGCCCTTTGAAGAACGGAGCTAACACGTCAAAAACCTCCCACGAAAAGGCCGTGCGCGACCGACCTCAAGCAGTTGTCCCTTAGGCACTGCAGTCACGCTCTCAGGTCACTGAGACCACCTCTAATCCAATTTCCTTTTCAGGTACCTCCAGAAGAACCCTTCCTCGGTGTGGGCAACTGGGAAGTGATAACCGCCCTCATACCTCTAACAGCACTCGAGACCACTGTATTCATAATCAACCTTCCTCTTCAATTCCTATTATTCCTCCTACATCGACGTTCACCTCTAAACTTCCTTTTTCGGCTTCCCCCTCAAGTGTCACCATATCCAACGATTCTATTGCTCAAAACACTGTCCCAGGTCTACTGAAACCTCGCTCCAAACTACACATTGGAGCCCTCAACGTACACACCCTATGTCAAATTGGTCAGCAGGCTTCCTTGGCTAAAACCCTAGAGTCTCTTTCCATTGATGTATGCTGTGTCTCCGAAACACGCATACAGGATTCCAGTGTGGTCATTCACTTGACCTCACCTCGACAAAACGGAGAGCCGACGAGATACACCCTCCGTGTATCTGGTGACCCGATGGCCAGTTCTCGTGGACTGGCAGGAGTAGGCATAGCACTAAGCATGAGGGCGGAACAAGCACTGCTAGAGTGGATCCCCATCAGCAGTCGTCTATGTGCTGTTCGGCTGAACGGCTACGTAAGAACTCGGAAGGATAGGGACACACGTCGTTGCCTTTTTGTCTTTTCTGCCTACGCTCCCACCGACTGCAGCTCAGGTGATGTGAAAGATGAATTTTACAGAAAGCTATCTGAACTTCTTCAGAAAGCTAAACGCTCAGACATAGTACTCATAGGGGTGACTTTAATGCCCAGATAGGTAGTTTAAACCAAACAGAAAGGCATTTAGGTGGGTATTTTAGTACACCGGCACAACGAACAGATAATGGTGATCGTCTGCTGCAACTATGCTCAGACAATCGTTTATTTTTAGCAAACACAAATTTTAAGCATAAGGAAAGGCATCGTCTAACATGGCGACCCCCTACACCCAACCAACGATGGACTCAAATAGACCATATTGCCATCAGTCATCGTTGGAGAGGGTCGGTAGATTGTCGCTCATTCTGGAGTACCTGCTTGGACTCCGACCATGCCCTAATACGGGCACGCATCTGCTTGCGCCTCACTGGACGCAAAAAAGCCACATTAAAAAGACCCGTTAGAACTGAGTTGAGTAACGAGAAAACCAAAAGTAGGTTCCAGGAACAACTGAGGTCACACTTAGGTAGTTCCAAAAACGAGGCTGACCCAGATGTTGCTTGGAAAGATATACGAACTGCTGTGGAAACAGCAATGAGATCTATTAGTGACTTAAACCACAGAGTTACAAAGAACCAGTGGATTTCTTCAAAGTCTATCACACTGATGGATTCTCGTAAACTCGTCCCATCAGGTTCTGAACATGATGAAGAGCGTAAACAATCCAGATCTAGGTTAAGAAAAAGTCTAAGAAACGACCGTGAGCAGTGGTGGGCAACGAAAGCAAAAGAGATGGAAAAGGCGGCGACTATAGGGAACACAAGACAGCTTTACAGACTAATAAAAGAAACTGGAACTAATAAGTCAAGTGTAAGTCAGACTATTTCGGAAAAAGACGATACTCTCATCTGCTCTCAGTCCAGACATTTAGAACGATGGGCGGAACATTTCAGAGAACAGTTCAGCTGGCCTTCAGCTACTCTACAACTACCGTCCATTCCCAGACAGTGTGAATGGAACATTAAAGTAGGTTCTCCAACTCTAACAGAAGTTCAAAAGGCTATAGTTAATCTGAAACGAGGAAGGGCAGCTGGTCCAAATGGATTGGCTCCAGAGGTCTTTAAGGATAGTGGTCCAATTTTAGCGATTAGGTTGACTAATATTTTAGCTAAAATCTGGGAGTTGGACGTTATTCCATCGAACTGGTCACAATCACTTATCGTCTCAATATATAAGAAAGGGTCAAAATCATCCTGTGACAACCACAGAGGGATTAGTTTAACTAATGTAATATCTAAAATACTAGCCTCGATAATTATCAGACGTCTAACTAAGACTCGTGAACTGCAAACACGAGAGAACCAAGCTGGCTTCAGACCTGGTCGTGGCTGCATCGACCACGACTCGAACACTACTAGTCGAGTCAGAGCTTATGGCGAACTGTCATCTACTTTTGCAACCTCAAGTGGTGTCCGTCAAGGCTGTCCACTTTCCCCATTTTTGTTTAACTTCATCATAGATCTACTGATGGAAATAACTTTCTCGTCGACTGATTTCTCGGGTATTGATCTTCTTCCAGGAGGTCCACTTATCGACTTAGAATACGCAGATGACATAGTCCTGTTTGGTGAAGACGCTGATAAAATGTAGAGTTTTTTGGTGGCACTGAGCAACAATGCCAGAATGTTTGGAATGCGCTTCTCTCCCTCTAAATGCAAGCTGCTGCTTCAGGACTGGTCTGCGTCAACACCTGAACCTGAACTAAGGAATAGGGAGTGAAGTAGTCGAACGTGTTGACATCTTCACTTATCTTGGAAGTCTGATCTGCCCTAATGGGTTGGTGTCTGACGAAATCTCAGCACGGATTCGTGTGGTTAAGCAAAAGTGTTGTCAAAACTGTTAACAGCTCCATCTTAGACCATTTAGTCCAAACAGGACTTACAACAAACATAGAGCAATCTTTTGCAATAATCTATCGTGTCAACAGCAGTCTACCTAATTCCGTCAGACTGCGAATCCTACAGATGGCTGAAGCAATTGCTATTCGGATCAAAAAGCCAGAACTTTGTATCCAAAAGAAGTATGTTCAGCCGCTCCTTTTACCCTGGCCAACTAGCTAATAACCGATCTTATAATGTGGTGACGTAATCTGATTAATGTTCATTTTATGTCCCAAACTTATTATTATTATTATACCCCCTTTCTGAGGAATTTATTCAATATCCACCTCTGAATCTACTATATTTGACCTAGTTATTTTACATATTACGTAATTTCCAATTTGTAATCACAATATTCTCTCTCTCTTACCCCATGTTGACCATATTTATTCTGATAATTTATCTCACAACTTCATTTCGCTTGTAAACTGATTCAAGTTAACATTTCATATTAGTCATCCCAACATTAACGATTTTATTTATATAACAAACAATTCCTGATTCACATATTACAATTTCCAAATGATGTAGTTTGCCTTAAATCTGGCCAATTTTATGGATTATTAATCTGGATTTATAATTGTAGAACCTGATGAGAAATTATTGAAAAGAATATTCTTCGTCCATACATTTGTGTATTCATAATCTCCTAGCCGTGGCTCGGGGATTGTAGGGCTCACGTTTCAACAACTAGATTGCAGGTTCAAGTGTCGTTCCACCGACTTCAGTTTGAACAGCCGGTTAGTATCACTAGCCCGCATTTATTTATTTGTTTGAACATAAATATTAGTACAAGGGGGCACCAAATGCGTATGCGTCATACAATAAGAATGAAGCCAGTAGTAGCGGCCTAGCCTTCGTGCACAAAGTCTGACCGAAAGCTAAGTACATAAATTTGTATTCGATGATTAGCATCTGATTATATATTAAATTTATCTTGTTTGTTTCCTTATTCAAGTGGTTCCTGGTTTGTCCGTATTCCTACTTCTTAAGTACTTTCTCTAATGCTTCACAGGGCTTTTCTCATCGACGTATTATCTGGTTCTATATTGTGTTAATTTTACCTTTCTAGCAGTATTGATTCACCCTAAAACTCATGAGTGACGGTAATAACTGACCTGACTACATGTGGATGGTTTTAAAACCTAAACATCCGGAGTTATTAATTCTTTCATTAAGGCTCAATGACACTCAAACGTGCACTAGTACTTTTGTAAATTTCCGATGAAAGATTTGATCGCTACCAATTACTTTTTATGTTATCGACCGAACTTTTCTCAGCAATGTCATCAGGATAAGAAACAATGTATCTAAAAATTACAAACACTCGTCGGCGGTAGGTCTTAAGACTTGTAATCTTTGACCTATCTAATGTGGGTTTTTTTTTCAGGGATAACGTCACTAAAGCATGAACTTGCGAGGTCTTAAAGTAGACACACTCGACCCTACCTTGCAAATCAAAACCATTCTTGGGTGAGTAAAAGTCTCAAGATAATCGTTGCTTCCCGGTTTCCGTACCACTTTTGATTGTTTAGACGTGTAGGCAGGTCTCTTAACAAGTCTTCCACGGTGTGGGCAGCCGGGAAGTGACATCAGCCCTCATACCCGTAACAGCACAAGAGACCAAGGTGGTCACATTCAAATCCTTCCTACACCTCCTAATACCTCTTATCTCCCGACTAACCCTCCTCACGTCTCTTTATCACCTCGCACCGCTAGGGCAAACGATTCGAGTACGTGGAACGCCATTCCTGGTCTCCTGAAACCACGCTCTAAACTACACGTAGGAGCTTTTAACGTACGAACACTTTGCCAAATAGGACAGCAGGCTTCCTTAGCTAAAACTTTAGAATCTCGCGCCATCGATGTGTGCTGCGTCTCCGAAACGCGCATACAGGATCCAAGTAGCGTCATTCATTTGACCTCACCATGCCAAAATAAAGAACCGACTCGATTTACGCTTCGTGTATCTGGAAGCCCTGATTCTGCTTCCCGTGGCCTCGCCGGCGTAGGTATAGCATTGAGTCCTAGGGCAGAACTAGCTCTCTTAGAGTGGATCCCAGTAGACAGTCGTTTGTGCGCTGTCCGACTGAACGGAACAGTAAGAATCCGGAAAGATAGGGACACTCGTCGTCTCTGCCTATTCTCCCACTGACTGCAGCTCAGATGATGTAAAAGATGAGTTTTACAGAAAGCTTTCGGACCTTCTCCGAAAAGCTAGCGCTCGGATGTAGTAATAGTGGCCGGTGACTTTAATGCTCAAGTAGGTAAACTAAGCGATAGGAAAGACACCTAGGTGGATCTTATGGTGTCGTGGCTCAAAGAACAGATAATGGCGACCGTCTGTTGCAGCTATGCTCAGATAACCGCCTGTTCCTTGCAAATACTAACTTTAAGCATAAGGAAAAACATCTTTTAACATGGCGACCCCCTAATTCGTCCCAACGTTGGACCCAAATAGATCACATCGCTATCAGCCACCGATGGAGGGGCTCGATAGAAGACTGTCGCTCATTCTGGAGCACATGCCTAGATTCAGATCATGCTCTAGTGCGAGCGCGTATTTGCTTGCGTCTTACTGGACGTAGGAAAGACGCTGCAAGGAAACCTCTTAGGGCCTACTTAATGATAGTCAAGCTAAGAGTATATTTCAGGAACAACTAGGAAAACAGTTAGGCAGCCATGTATGTGATGCCCACCCCGATGCAGCATGGAATGATATCCGAAAAGCTGTGGAAACAGCAGTGATATCTGCTAGTAAGGTAAACCAGAAGGTTAGGGAGCAACACTGGATCTCAGCAGCATCTATCGCACTGATAGATGCTCGGAAACTCATTCCACCTGGCTCTGAACATAATGAAGAGCGGAGTCAGCTTAAGCGCAAGCTGACAAGAAGTCTACGCAATGATCGCGAACAGTGGTGGGTAGCGAAAGCAAGAGAGATGGAAAAGGCAGCGGCAATAGGTAATAGCAGACAATTGTTCAGACTCGTTAAGGAAACCGGAATTAGGAACCCGACCGTTAGCGAAACAATCTCAGAGAAAGATGGACATATTATTCATTCTCAATCCAGGAGATTGGATCGATGGGCAGAACACTTTAGGGATCAGTTCAACTGGCCTTCAGCCACACTTCGGTTTCCCACGATCTCCAGTCAACCTGAATGGCAAGTTAATGTAGGTCCTCCGTCCCTTTACGAAGTTGAAAAAGCCATAGGAAATCTGAAACGAGGGAGAGCAGCAGGCCCTGACAGGTTTACTCCTGAGATTTTTAAGGATGGTGGTCCAGTATTAGCAATGAGATTAACTGAGGTCTTAGGTAGAATTTGGGAACTGGACGTAATCCCATCTGACTGGTCTCAATCACTGATTGTGCCAGTCTATAAGAAAGGACAAAAGTCCTCTTGTGACAATCACAGAGGAATCAGTTTGACTAATATAGTGTCTAAAATATTAGCTTCAATAATACTTCGACGCCTAACTAAAGCTCGTGAAGAGCAGACTAGAGAAAACCAGGCTGGTTTTCGACCTGGACGTGGTTGTATAGATCAGATATTCACACTACGTCAGGTTCTAGAACACAGACACACATTCAGACGCCCCACAATGGTAGTATTTCTCGACCTTAAGGCGGCATTCGACTCTGTTGATCGTGAGGTTCTATGGCAGTGTTTGTCACTGAAAGGAGTACCAAAGAAGTACATTAACCTTATAAAGGCTCTCTACTCGAACACAACTGGTAGAGTGAGAGCTTATGGCGAACTGTCATCAGAATTGATTACCTCAAGTGGTGTTCGTCAGGGCTGTCCACTCTCCCCATTCTTGTTCAACTTTGTGGTCGACGTACTTTTAGAGATAACACTCTCCTCATCTAAATTTCAGGGGTTGAACTTCTACCGGGAGGTTCACTTGTTGACTTAGAATATGCTGATGACATAGTTTTATTTGGTGAAGACGCTGACAAAATGCAGAGTCTTCTGACCACTCTAAGCAACAATGCAAGCATGTTCGGGATGCGATTCTCCCCCTCGAAATGCAAAATGTTGCTTCAGGATTGGGTTACATCGACACCCGAACTAGTGATAGGGAGTGAAGTAGTTGAGTGTGTCGACCGCTTCACTTATCTTGGAAGTCTCATCAGCCCTTGTGGTTTAGTGTGTGACGAAATCTCAGCACGGATACAGAAGGCTCGACTAGCTTTTGCCAACTTGCGTCATTTATGGCGTAGGCGAGATATCCGTCTATCAACCAAAGGACGTGTTTACTGCGCAGCAGTTCGTTCCGTCCTACTTTATGGCAGTGAAACATGGCCGGTAAGAGTAGAGGATATCCGTAGGTTACTAGTATTTGATCATAGGTGTCTTCGAAACATTGCTCGTATATCATGGGACCATCGAGTAAGTAACACAGTTGTTAGGAAACGGGTACTAGGTAAGGATGGCAAATCAATTGATGAAGTAGTGAAACTTCATCAGTTGAGATGGCTGGGACACGTGTTACGTATGCCCAACGACCGACTGCCTCGACGTGCTATGTTCAGTGGTATAGGAGTAGGTTGGAAGAAAGCTAGGGGCGGCCAAACCAAAACATGGCACAAGTCCATGAAGTCACTGACAAGTGAACTGAGTCATGTTGGTAGGTGTAGACTACCTGGTTGGGGACCGCGAGATGATAGCAACCGATGGTTAGAGACCCTGAATGACATGGCTCAAAATCGTTTGCAATGGCGCAGGTGCATCCACTCTCTGTGTTCTCCCAAATTCTAATCTTCTGAATTCTTCATGTCCCTTTTTTCCTCTTTCCAAATTTATTTCACTGGATTATACTCTTTAAATAACATCTCCAAACCCTAATCTTCCCGATTACTGCTTATACTCTTATTACCTCTACCACTACGGGATTTGAATCGACAACTGCATCTCTGTGCTAATGTGGTGTGGCAACTCGAACTGATGTACGTACGTACGAAGTTCTACGTTGTTACTGACTGACTGACTCTTAACAAATCTGCATTGACGCCTAGTGTTTTGTAAAGAAAAATTGTGTTAAGAATAGTTATGATTGAGATCACGGTTATACGTTGAATCTGTTATTAGAAGTCAACGATACTTATTACTTCAGCGTAAACTTGGTTAAGCAAATTATTTTTACTTATATTTGCAGTGCAGTTAGCTCTAAAAATGCACCAGTAGCTTTTCAACTTCGTAATTATCATTTCTTTCATTTTCAGTCGTTTGATCCCGAAAACAAACCAACATTCAGTGCACACCCTGCACGTTTCACTCCGGAAGATCGTTATTCAAGGCACCGAATTACATTGAAATCAAGGTTTGGTATCTTACCAAGCCAGGGTACTCCAATTGTGTACTAAGAAAATGACAATAAAATATTTACTTATTTATATGGGTTTTATTGTTTTGTCGAAAGCGTACAATAAATAGTCAGTTGGCAGATGTAGAGATAACAGGAATATCAAATAAATCGCAGACACCTTCTGTATCTTCCAAATTGTAGTTGAAATCACATTCACTGGGAGGTGGACTGAGTGGCAATAATGGACTCACAAATGCTTTCTCTTCTGAAAATAAAGAAATTTTCTTTTAAAAAAACAAATCACAATGTTACGAAATTTACGTCTGGTCATTCTATATTATATGTTTTGTTTCTTAATTTTTGCCCAATTGTAGATGTTGTATCGACTTAGTTTGGGCTTAATGTTGTGGTGACTTAGATGAGCTATATCCCTAGGTCGTACCATACCAGCCACATCTGTTTAAGACCAGCGACTTAAGGCCTGAGAGCAAAGTTTTACTGCTGGCTGACAGTAGAGTATTATCTTCAGATAATCGGCGGTTGTCTTCTCAGACTTGTGTGAAGGAATCGGAGGGTACACCCTAAAAATAACGTGTTTGACCTTGTCCTACAAATTACTAATGCTGGTCGTAAAGCTTGAAGAGCACAGGGATAACACCAAAAACTGCTAACAACGGGACTGACTGCCCTCCAGCAATTATACCTTGAGCTCTGTGGTCACGTTCCTAAGTCAACAAGGTCACTACTAATGGCTCAGTTTTTTCAAATATTTCGAGAATATATATCACCCCACATTGCGAGCAACTGGGAAGTGACAGCCGTCCACATCATTAGAGAGGTCTTGTTTATGGTCAAATCCTTACTTCACTTCCCGATATTTTTTGTTTCTACTATTGATTTCACTTTTTTCTCTGCACACAATCAGTGCTAGCGAGTCAGTTTACGAATTGCTATTTCTAGCATCCTGAACTGTTGGGGTTTTCTATGTTCAGATATTTTGACCGATTAAACAGCTGACATAACATGTGCTGCTTCTTCGTAACTCATGCATATACAAACCAAGTGTGGTTACTGGTCTGACATCAACTATCTAATATAGAGAACCAACACGACTCCCTCTCGTGTATTTGCAGACTCTGGTCATGCCTTTGTTCTACTGGACACAGAAAAGCCACATTAGGAAGATATTTTGGAGTTAAACTCAATGATGTAAAGGTCAAAAATGTATATTTCAGAAACAACTAGCAAAAGACTTGGTTGGTCATGAAAGTAATATTCACTGCAATGTAGTTTGGTACGTCATTTAAACAGTGGTGATTTCTACTAGTGGGTTGCAACAAATGGTTAGGATAGGTCACTAGATTTTGCTTGAGTCTACTCAACTGATAGATGCTTGGAAACTCACCTTGTCATGCTCTGAACATGAGGAGCAGAAACAACTTGGAGGTAGACTGGAAAATTTACTCAATCATTGTGAGCAGTAGCGGGCGATGAGAACAAGAGATAGAAAAGGTAGCAGCGACAATTAACACCGGACGATTGTTCAGGTTTATCGAGGAAAAATGTATTCGAAGGTCGCCTGCTAGTGAGAAAAACTCCAAAAAGATAGGACCATGGTCTCCTTTTAACCGGGTAATTGAAACGAACAGTGTAAGCGATAGTCTAACTCCATTGACTGCGACGTTTTGTGGCAGTATTTGTCATGAAGGGATAAACCGAAGATATACATAAACCTTGTGAACGCTCTTAATTCGTATACTACTGATCGAGTCTAGGCTTAGGATGAACTGCTTGGTACCACAATTTGTATTTTACTTTGTTACACAGATGCTTTCAGAGGTAACCACCTTACCTACTTTGGAGGTTCGTTCAGTCTTGGTGGGTTGGTGTCCAACGGAATCTCGACGCGAATTTGGGAAGTCTGCTTCGCTTTTGGTAACTTACATCAAATGTGGCGTAAGCCCGTCTGTCAATCAGAAGGCGATTATACAGAGAAGCAGTTCACCTTTTTCTTTACGGACGTGAAGCATGGCTTCTAAAAGTAGAGGACACTCGTAAGTTAGGTGTTTGATTATAGGTGTCTTCGAAGCATTATTCGCATACATTAAGATCGTCAGGTGAGTAATTTTGGGATTAAAGTAAGGGTACTAGGTAAACATGTTAAATCGGTTGGTGATGCATTGGTATTTCATTACACGCGATGGTTGGGAGGTGTATCTAACTACCATCTACCTCGAAGCACAATGTCTACTGATGTGTCGGTACGCAGGGAGAAAGCTACGGACTGCTAATGTAAAATTATTCTGACAGCAAATAGAAACTGAGCTGGTTTATTATACCTTACTGTTCACTAAATAATGAGATATAGTATGTATTTCATATACGTGTGTTCTGGTAAATTTCTCCTTGCTGCGTGTGAATTAAGGGACGGCCATGCACGTGTAGTTGAAATTATGTACGACAACATTAGGCTTAGGTACATGGGAACAGATACAACGGTAAATTGAAAAGCTATTGTGTTACATGTTCAGTTTGTCACTGGGGCAGAAATAAAAGTGTACTGAACCTCAGCTTTTCTTAAGTACAACTTACCATTAGATTTCGCGGCGGGACGACGAGCGAGAGCAATCGAGTCCGAAGTTGCTGGTACAGGGAGTACACGAGCTTTGTCACTACCCTCTTCTTGATTTACCAATAAGACGTGAATCGGTGTTGTGAAGCTTTTCACATGAACCTAGACAATGAAATACCTCAAAGAATTAACAAAAGTGGATATTAACAAGTTAAGGAATACCAGGAAGTTAAAAGATCCTCCGAATGCTGTTATATGGCTTTTTCAGGTTTACGTGGACGTGGATTTTTAAGACAGCAAGTGACGTCTCGCAGGAAAAGTCAGGGCCAATGAGCAGATTGTGAACAGAACCTCTAAGTTCCGTAATTTGAGGTCGACACTCCCGAAATATATGTTGGTCAAATCCTGACTATAAGCAAGTATCAATCAATGTATATCTAACTGGATTTGACCTACCATATCCATTTTATGTTCATTTTACTCAGAAACCTATTTATTTATTTATTTGAATACATAAATATTGGTACAAGGGGCACCAAATACATCTGCGGCACACAAACCTCACTTGATTTTTGTGAGGGCTAGGACACTACCCGGGTGTTCAAACCGAAGCAGGTAGTTTTCTTAGGGAGCCACACCTGGAGCCTTTGACCTAAAGGTCTGATTCACAAGACAGTGCAGCATCGTAAGAAGATGCAGTCCCATGGTAGCCGGTGACCAACGATTGGTTCATACGTCACTTGCTCCCTCAGGATAGTGGAGCCCATGTGCACCGTTGGTTTGGAATCAGGGTTTTTCAACTCTCCTAGGTGGACTCTTCGTGTCCACCAACCCGGTTGAAGCGCCGGATATTCGCTTTTCGTCCTCTCAATTTCGTAAATAACACCCCGCCAAGAGAAGGCAGTGAGTAGGACTCAGAAACTTAACTGTATTGGAAATTCCAACTTGTCTAAAGCTCGCAAACTCCTGTTTTCTTGAACTCTCAGCCAGTGCGGTAGATAGCGAAACTCATCCAAATTCACTCATTTCGTTTAAATTTACTACGCAAAACGTTTGTAACAGAAGTGTATTATAGATGTTTTAGTTCAGAAACTTTTTGAATATTTCATAGCTTTGGATGCTTTCCGTTCTAGTTTAAAGAGCCCACCTATTGAGGGTTCTCATGGTAACAGTTTTTAGCACCGTCTGTATACATATCTCACCGTGCTATCTGGATGAAAGATGTCAAGAATTATATTCCTGTGAAACGAAGGTTGGTGGTATCAGGTTGTTAGCTAACTAAGTTGGTGATTAATAACATTCCGAGTCACCAAGTTTATCGATCCTATTAGAATTGTCTTGAAACCGAAATCAGTAGCGATCTTAATGTGTTACCTTTTTGTCTTCCATATAAATAGTAGGATGAACGACTAAAAGAAGCATTTCAACTTTCTCTTATCTGGATCGTCTTAAATTTTCTTGAATGGTTTGTATTTCGTTTGTTCACAATATTATCAATTATTATTGTGAAGGTCATCTCTTTTGGATTTCTATTGTGATGACATAAATGCAAAAATTGATTTGTATCAGGCAGATTGTGTAAAGGATTTGCCACAGAAAGAAGACCGATTTTATTTATTTAGCATTCCCTCGTAACATTAAAATCAACAAAATATAACAAGTCTATTATAAATTCAGTAATACACGTCAAAATGATTTTTTACATGATCAACATTAAATACCAGTAGTTACAAAGCTTCATGTGATAAACAGTTCTTAGGTTAGCTCAGAAATAGTGAATGGTCTATTTCTAACAGTGCTTTTACTAATTACTGTGTTGCTAAGCTTACCGAATGAATAAGGATATATATATATATATATATATATATATATATATATATATATATATGCCGAGTTATATTAAATTAACTAGCCAACAACAAACCTGCCTGTCTAATTATTTCCCTCATTGGGATATTACGAGTATATCATATTTATTATTTAAACCTGTCTGTCGCTAACTCTTTTTATACATATATATATTTACACCTTTAAAGTTTGGGTGGTAATCATTTTTAATGGCTTAATTAATCAAGCTTGTCCAGTTTATACAGGTTTACTAGTTGAAACTTAAAAACTGATTATTTTAAAATAACGTCAACAGTGAAACTGAAAGGTGCACAAGCTCACTTTGTATGAACGCTTTAATGAGAAAATCGTTTGAACAGGTTGTTGCTCCATAGGATTTTCTGGTACAGGTGCTTCCAGTTTAGTTCCAGGTGGTGCACGTATTATCAGCATTGTACGATCTTGAAAAATATTAATCAGATCTTGGTGAGTAACATAAGCGTATTGCAGATTATCTAAATCCTCTTGAACATTTTTCAGTGACTGTAAAACTTTTCCTCTATGTTCATCAACTTTTTTTCAAGATTTTCTAAATACTCAACTTCAGCTTGAAGTTCATCTAGACGAGCTTGAATATCAGGTCCATTTGTAGCTGCACTTCCGCCCCTATTTTTGAGGTAAATATGAAAAGTAAACAGTCATTGATCAAACTCATAAATGTCTGTAAAATACGGAATATAACAGTGATAAACGGTGACTGAATGACCATACACATAAGTACATAGGTTGATAAACTTACAACGTAAAACGAGCTAACAGATAATTTTGTTATTCCCCATCAGTTTGCAACACAATCACCACTTACGTGCTTTATTGTACTACATAGTGTAAGACCACAGTCATATAAAACGACAACTAACTCTTCATAGTTTTTTACTACACATAAATTCTAGTGCACTTTGCAACAAAGAAGTATGTGCCATATAAATAAAGATATAGTACTGTGAAGAGATGAAGAGAGGAAAGTACGATCGAAAGTATTAAATAAATAAATGGACAAGAAAAGTATAAAATATGAGATATAGTCCAACAAAGTTTGATCACGAACGGCTTCTTCCGTCTATGGGGGGTCTCTCTCACTTCTATGAGGAGTATAGAAAATTGCAGCACGATCGCCATCGGTTTTTGTTCCGAGCCAAGTCTGATAACGTCTAAAGTCACCTGGCTCCACAGTCTTTGGAACCCCAACCGAAGAGTTTCGATGGGTTGACAGAACTTAGTCCTAAACAGCTTTTATACCACAGTTTCATGTCATAAATTGAACATCTCTCTACTTTTTTAGCCAGTCTGAGTCAGCAAGCAACAAGCAATGTGGAGGCCATTTGGATTACGTAAGTGACGTATATTCAAGCCACTGAAGCCAGTTGTGACACTAACTAAATTATTGTCACTGAGCCCGGACACAGTCCTGAGTCTCAGAATCACTAAAGCGATGTCGTCATTGAATATCAGCGATGCTTAGGGGCAAAATATGACTGAACATAGAGTCCCCAAGCATCATCAGCTTGAGGTGGTCAGATTTAATAGAGTACAGATGCCCTCAACGATGCGTTACAATCCCGAACTTTTACAATCAAACTAACATTATGATGGCGCCAGATGCCACAGACCGAGATAAGCCGTCTTGGCTTTCATTACGTATAGGCTGATCTCATCAGCCACTTTACCACTACCAACATACACAAACTTTCGGCTTAATTCTAACTGATTACCAAAAAGTGGGTACTGACACAGGCTCCAGTGAGTCTTATAGAAGTAATTAGCATTTAAAAATTGCAAAGTACATCCCATGCTTACGAGTACTGATTGGTAACTTATTAGGTGTGCTTTAGGTAGCTCGTATATCACCACTTAGTAAGACAACAACAGATCAACATCACAACTAGAAAAACTATAATCTGGCATTTCAAGTCGTATTTTAGTCGCAGAGTCACAAAACCAATTGATACCCCTTAGCTGCGCTTTTACTTATTATATGTAAAAATTTATCCCTTTTGTACTTATCTTGAAAAAATACAAGGCTCTGACAAATGTGCAACATACGGCAAAGTGACAAGATTGTGAAGGGACCAAAATAGGAACAAGAATAACGAGTATTAAGGGACATAGCTCATACAATAATATATTCAGAACAGACTCCGCTCACCTAGAGTGTCTACCTGATTCTTGGTGAATAACATAAAATGAAATGACGGTAGAATACACAATGGCATTTTCTCTTGAGTCGGATTTGAGAAAGTCCCAAGTCGCTGAATTGCATGACTCCTAGGATCCCATCTATTGATACTTGACGATTCAATGAATGCTAAAAAACACACGTATCTACAAGTAAGCACCCATATCATAAACTGGCTTCTACCTTGATTTCCTAAGTCAACCCCTGGACCAACAAATGGGGCTTGGCATAAGCGCAAAACCAAAACGCAATGTAATTTTATGGTCATGTATTGCTGTTTTGAGATACATTAGTAGGTAAACACCATCACTAACCTTTTGTCTATTCTTAGAAATCGAGCTTCAAAATCATACAATGGCTTTCATTCTTTTCTTTATGATAGTTCATATTCCTGATTTGCTTTACCCCACGAATACTAGTAAACCTTATGATTTGGTATTAAGGTTGATAAAATACCCTGATTGTGTTTATTTGATGTGGGAACTCTAACATTTGCACACATGTGTTAGGATTACGGTTGCTTATTATTGACTAACGAGACAATATGCGTCGAACGTCTAGAAGCTGGTGTTATGTAATGATAACACTTACTGACTCCAAGACATGCCGCAAAGTTTCAGCGTCACTTTCTCGGCAGTAATACAATATGAGAACAATGGTAGTGTTAACAAGTGCGACCAAACATTTGGTGAATATACTATGTTTAAACAAGCATACGGGCAAACTGTTTGTACGTATTGTGTATCAGATGTCTTATAAACTTGCTGAATTCACGACAGTGCTGAATATGACTCGTATTGATATTGGCCGTATTAGAATTTATTATAGAGAGTTCATTATTTGCGTGTGGGCTGAGATACTGCCCGGGTGCCCAAACCGAAGCAGGTGGTTATCTTAGGGGGCCACACCCCGAGCCTTTGACCTAAAGGTCTAACCCACAAGGCAGTGGAGCATCGTAAGAAGATGCAGTCCCATGGTAGCCGGTGACCAACGATTGGTTCATACGCCACTTGTTCCCGCAGGATAGTGGAGCCCATGAGCACCATTGGTTTAGGATCCGGTTAAAGCACCGGACATTCGCTTTTCGTCCTCTCAATTTCGTAAACACCCCCGCCACGAGAAGGCGATGAGTAGGACTTCTCTGGTAGAGACTACATACGCGTGGCCGTGTGAGAGCATTTCGAGAGGGAGAGCGGACTCCCCCCACTGTCCACCGTACCAGGACATTTGGAGGCACCATAGTGGTCTACATTCACAGATGAGTTTTAGAGTCGTAGGTACACTAATTATATCTTCTTAAGCTAAAAGCTTGAATAATTGAGAAATGCAAGAAAAAATCGCCGTTTCTTTGTGGAACAGGGATCTTTGATTTTTTCGTACGGGCTTGTATTTCTGGGTTACTTGCTTTCTAGCAAGTTAGAAAGTTGATCGTTATTAGGGAAAGTACAAAAACAAGTGGAGTGAAACACAATAGAACTCCAGTTACCTAATTAGTTATTTGCACTATGTCAAAGTATAAAAATAAACCAGACATAAAACGAATGCGATAACTGTATGACATGTTTTTAGACACTACACACTACATTGTTCCTTGGAAAGCAGACACATCAATACATAAGTTCTGAATCTAGCCATCAAAGATCAATTAAGCTATTGAGTACTCTGAAAGTATTCAGTGTATCAAAACGTACGTATGGATAAATGAGTCAATTCATAAAATATCATCATTAAGACATTATAATGTATACAGACTTACTTCCACTGAATACTGTTCTTCGTTCGCTTTTCTATCAGACCTATACCTTCCAAAACATTCGTAATGTCATAGATCCTTCTTTTTTGCCTCACAGCTAGGAAATCTGCCGCCTGATAAGCATATTAAGGAACGGAATATGAAACATACCATCTTAAGGTCCAAAATTCCATCTGGAGCCTCTTTAAGAAGCTGAACGAACTTTTCCGTGAGTAGACCTAAACTTTTTTCATGGCGGTTGAGATCTCGAAGAGTATGTTGGTCCAGTGGGAATTCATTAAACATAAGTCCCTGGTTCGGATACATATTACAATGGACCTTGAAACTTGACCTTGAGAATGAAGTTCTCTCTGACTCGATGTACAATATATCTCATGAATGGAATGGTTGTGGGGCGAAGAGAAGAAACTTTCGCTTGAAGGGCTTCCATATCGGTTAGCAATGGATCGCCGATGCCTTATGGCGGGAACCTAGGTATATTTGACGATAAAAGAGGGAGATTGTTGGTAACTTACAGAGAAGTACAGTCCTTAATCCTTAAGATTATGTCAGTTTTTCTCTTAAAAGACTCCTTGGAAGTCGCTTATGTTATCTCAGACGGCAGAAAATAACAGGATTTGACTGATTTTAAGGGGTAGAAGGTGTGAGTACAGTCCAGACTGCGACGTTGTTCTATAATTCCTAGGTATCGTCGTTAAGAATAATATTTAGGCTGAGCTTTAGTAAATATCTTAGGGAATGCTTATGGGTATTTGTAATGTCATGAGTCAATAGAAACTCACGTATGAGAGGCCTATGTCGGAGAGCTCACGAAGTCCTGTTTTCTTGAAGCTCTCAGACTGTGGTAGATAGAGAAGCTATGCTAATCCGTTTGGTCGTTTTAGAGTTTAGATGTTTGTATGAACTAACGTTCCCTTTTTACTTGATGTCTGCCGAGTTTCGAACTATAAATACAGTTCGTTCGTTTGTCCTTACCTATTCCTTTCTCGTTCAAATTGCTTTATTTTGGGAATCCCTAGTTCGTATAATAAGTCAAATACTTCAAATCCTCACATGGGCGTCGCGATGGAGCCTTTGTAGCGGTAAATAAACTCCCAAAATAAATAGCTCTGTAAGTCTTCGACATTGGACGCTGACCACATTAGTTTTAATGGACTCACCAAGCTGAAGGCACTCGGTCATGCACCCACACCAGATCACGAGTATGAACGCTGTGCTCAACATCCCTTGCAATCGCTAGACAGATTAGATCAGTCGATCCTCGATATATTGATAGCCTATAAAATATATCTTCGAACCTCCTATCTTCTGTCTTTTGATTACACTTGGTGGGTACGATTCATAAGTGCCACTGGTTAAAGCGCTGCCAAACTCCGAATACCTGTGGCATCTTCATTGGTGAGATCTGTGACACCAAATTATGAAGTGCGAGTCTGTTCCTTTTTAGGATTTTACATATTATTGCTTTATTTTAGTTCTTACATATTGCAATATTTTCACTCGTTCATTCTCAAACTTGATATTTCACCATGACGGAACAGACACTCAAGGTACTCAAGTGAAAGACCACGTCTCTACCTTCGTCTTTCAACTAATACCCTTCTGGCCAGACAACATCGAAGCTTGATTCTGTTACGCAGAAGCTGACTTCTACGAGCACGGCGTGAACGACACACGTGCACAATTCCTCGCAGTTGTCAAGGCACTACCGCACGAATTAAACAGGTACGTAACACCTAGTATGTTTACTAGTGATGTTTCTGAACTCTATGAAACACTAAAACGATCTATTTTTAAACACGGAGGTCTAACCCATCGACAAGGGTTAGATCAACTCCTTAACAGTATCGACCGGCAACACGGTTCAGCGACAGACATGTTGCAAATAATGAGAGAGGTTATCGGCCAATAATCTTTCGATGATGGCTTATTCAGACATCTTTTCTCATCTAAACTTCGTCAACGGGTGCAAGCTTTACTGGTGTTGTCTCAGAACAACGCCATAGACGAGCTGGCCGCATCTGCCGACCACATCCTGGAAATCACGAAATCTAATGCCGAGGTTTTTTCAGCCGAAGAAAAACCTCAAACGACCGAGAGTGACAATACGGAATTATGTCATACACCTACACGTTATCCTAGATTTCGTTCCGACTGTAAACGGTTGCATACCCTGCGAAGAAGTACTTCACGTAGGCGACCTGTCTCTGGACCGCGCAAGACGGATAACCCCGACTGGTGCTGGTACCAGAACCAGTATGGAGAGTCTTCCAGAAACCGCAGAAAACCCCGCAATTTTCTCAACTCAAAATCAACTGACACGAAAAACAATTCTGGAAACTTTACAGCCGGCACGCTTTAACGGAAATCGTAGCTGGCAAACATAGCCATCTGTTATAAGTCACAGATGTGATAAAGAAAGTTGGGTGATATTATCCGTAACGCAACCATGTAAGCTTAATGTATCGCTCAGTGTAATAACAGTCATCTGTGCGTTCAAGTAATCATAGAATTTGTCATTTCATAACGTATTTTTTATTAAATAACTAGATTATGTTGTTAATTTTGCTCTGGTTGTAATTTTTATTCGCCACGTCTGACTGCGTTACATTGTACGTTCATTGAATGCTGGAATGATGTCCCAAGTCATAGTGAGTTTAATCACAACAACAACAGCAACAATTATTTTAGCTAAAAAATGAGCTTCGGCTTTGGATATCTAGTAAACAAGCCAAAACAAAACCGATTACCATTTTAAAACATAAGACTAGACAGCTTGGCTGAAGAAATACATTGACTTCAGTAGCAGCAGCCAAAACCCAGAAAACAAAGCAAAATAAGGAAAAAATTTGCTTCAACATTTAGAGTGTTACATTGACTTTTGTATTTTAGCACAATGAAACATTAAATTCTGTAGCTGGACAAAACAAATAGCGGAGAAGGCACAAAACGAAGAAAGCCGGCCGCCATTGCATACCAAGATAGCGGATATAATAATTCCCACTTCATTCTGATTGGTCGCTAAGCACACTGTCACGTTTACGAAATTGAGTTGCATTTAATAGCAGCCCGAAAGTTTGCTACCTCGACGATGCTGGGGCAGAAGTTGGCGTTCTTTCGGCGAATTCTAACGACCGGTTTCACGAATCGATTTTAGACTTACAGGCGGCAAATGGAAAGCCTATCGCTACATATGACAAAAGGTACGTTTACCTTAACGTGAGTTTACGCAAACCCACTCACTGGATCTTTGTTGTTGCAGATGTTTCTACACCAATCATTGGTATAGACCTCCCACAACACCACACTCTACTCATCGATACTCGCAAATGGAGGCTAGTAGACGGAAGTACTAATTTGCCTGTTCGCGCAACTTCTTTTTCCGGTTTCAGATTATCTCCAGCCACAATGAAGCACACGATAGACCCATTCTATCAACTACTACCCGTTAAGTATTATGGGGTATGCCAACAGCAACCGAAATTGCCGTGTGCAACCAGCAACGTTACACATCACATCACAACTACAGGACCACCTGTATTCTCTAAAGCACGCCGACTAGCCCTCGAAAGGCCAAGGTCGGCGAAAAACGAGTTCGACCACATGATAGACTTGGGTATCACAAGACCGTCAGACAACCCACGGGCATCTCCGTTGCACATGGTCCCTAAAAAGGACAGCAGCGATTGTCGTACAAATGGTGACTATCGGCGATTGAATGCGAAAACCATCCCTGGTAGTTACCCGTTGCCTCACATTCACGATTTGACAGCTACCTTGAAAGGTACAACTGTCTTTTCGAGAATCGACTTGGTTAAAGCGTATAACCAAATCCCTATGGCTACAGACAATATAGCAAAAACTGCTATCATTAATCCCTTCGAACTCTACGAATTTTCGCGAACGCCTTTCGGTCTAAGAAACATTGCACAAACCTTCCAGAGGTTCATAAACGACGTTTTTCGAGGTCTCAACTTCGTACATGCGTATGTTGACGACTGTCTAATAGCAAGTCCGGACAGAGAATCTCATCTCCAGCATTTGGATCTTGTTTTGGACCGACTACAACAAATGTCCCTTAGGCTCTCACAAAACTGCGGACGCTCGTTTCGACCATTAAGAAAGAAAGACAGTTCCACTTTAAGCCTTTTCAAATTTTCCAAACTTAGTATTGACAATCCTGTTTCACTAAATGAAAGCTCATATGGCATGTAAAAAGAATTATCACTGTAATTATCAATTCACAGCACACTCGTATGGGCAGTTTGTGTTCAGTAATCTCTAATACTGAGACTTCATTGGGTTGTAATACAACGCTAGAATCAAGACATTTCAAGTTCTTGGGTGAAATAATGGGTTCCAAACTACCCGTGTCAACAACACAGTTATGGAATGAACCACAGGAGGCAGGTAATCGCTTATGGATATGGACACTACCTGACTAAATCGTGGATAAAGATAAGTGGTCATTAGAAACACCCAACTTGATAAAGCCAAAATTACAGGGTTAACCATCATTAGTGGCAAAGGGAACAGTAGCTTTATAGACCGACTAGATATGTCCCAGTTTACCACACTAAGAGCATTCGGCATGATGAAACACACAGGAATTGCTCAAGTGAAACTTACCACAGCACAAACATTTACCGCGCCTGTGCTCATCTCTGTAAGCTGCTTTAAAATTCTTTGTTGAATCACTTTTCATTTTCCACAAGAAAAAGAACCATTACTAAACAAACGAGAGCTTGAGAAACTTTGAGACTGTAATTAATCACGATGACTAAGCAAAGCACTAGAAACTTTTACTGGCTGAAAATCGAATTCATCCGCTGCCTCATAATTAATACATGATGTTTTAATTTCTTGGAGTAAACTTCTGGTCATCTGAACGCTTCATGTTGCAAGTTAGAAGGCAGAAGACGAATGGAAAAGGATCTTATTCCAACCAGTGTCAAATATGGTACAAAATATTACGGTATTTAACGATTTTAATAAAAACAAAACCATGATTACAACCATCCAGTTAACATCTAGTGGTTCTTAGCATTTGTTCAATCGGCAAGCTACACATCGGGATTCTGGAATGTTCTTCCAAACGATGATTGTATGTAATGTGTCTTTCTGAGCCTCTTAGAGTTTTTTGAGTTCACTGGTAGTCGTCTACACAGTTTCTATAACTCTAAGTGCGCTTTAATAAAAAATCTACAAGTGCACAATTTTATTCATTTTATACAACACAGTCGAAAGGGGGAATGATTCAAAATGGCAGCCGCCATCACCAAATATTAAATAAAACATCGTAGATG